AAGCAGAATCAAAGGGAAAGAGTCAGAATTCTGTATATGCATCTGCCCTAGGGAGTTATAGCCCTAGGTACTCACAGGGGGCATGCGCTACATGGACAAACACATACAGTTCATATTTAGAGACAATTCTAATTTAATTCTGGCCTCAGGCCTAGGACCCTAGCTAATTTACAAGGCTGCTCTAGGAAAGACACACATTTAGGGATGACAGTAAGTCTACAGCATTCAGTTTTCTTGCAGGGGAAGCTGTAATGCATTCCCACCCTTCGAAAGAACCCAAGATTGATGATTCGGGGCCGGGGGAGGAGGGAGTTGCTGGTTAGTGTTTCTCTCTTTCTTTTATTTTTTTTTCAGCCCAGAAGGTGTGTTTCCATTGTACCCTGTCAAAACTTTTCTCAGCAGTCAAGGAGAGGATAACGCACCGCTGCCCTTGAGCCGAGTTGGCAAATCCTACTGGGAAACCACCCCGTGCTGTCAGACGACGTGGTTTTCGGACACGTCTACACAGACTAGTTGAATTAAAGACCAACTCCGGACTTGGATGTTGCTGAGCTCCTCAGCTCCATCTTGCCGTCCTGATTGATCGAGGAGATGGGTCTATAGTTAAAGTGGCATAGTACTTTGAGGGCTTAGTCATTAGAGCACACTGCTTTCTCTTTGGAAGGCAACTTCTTGCTTGGCTAGGTAATGGAAGCTAAGGAGTGACGTCAAGATGTTGTCTGGCCAGAATTTGCAGATAACCATAGAACTCTTCTCCTCCATCAGCCATGGATTTAGCCTCCATTAGTTCCTGCAGTGACATAGGAGCCTCCAAATACCAAATTATTATCAGGCGGTCTTGGGGGAACCTCTGGGCCCTGAAATAAAGTAGACAGACTTGCTATTGGAAAGTGCTCAGGAGCAGTTCAGTCCTGTTCAGATTGCTCTAAAATCCTGAAAACCATCTCTGGACTTTTTTTTTTCTTTTTTCTTTTTTTTTTTTTTTAATGAGTCCACTCACATAGGTCCTGAGAGTGAAAAAGTGCTTTGGGGGAAATAATTTATCATCATCCTTCACTTAAATGATTTTACACATCATTTAAGGAAATCTGGTTTGATCCTGATTTTTTGCTTGTGTTTTCATTGTTTTGTTTTTAAAGCAAAGCTATGCAAGCATGGAGGCTGTGTCATTTTGGACAAGCCACTTCTGAGCATCTTTTGTAAAATAAGGTTTGTATTAATTGACCTTTAAGGTCTAACTCAGGGGCCGCAAACAGATGGTGGACTATGGACCAAATATGACTCATATGGAAATAATTTATTGATCCCACCCAGTGTTTTAAACCTTAGGGAATTCACATAAAAATAATAAATGCTGTTCTTGCTGGAAAAATGAGAGGATCTGGTAATAGAAGGCCCACATTCTAGTATGGCCTTCACTACGCCACATCATCTTTCTGACCCAGCCTGTTTCTCCTATGACCCGCTTGATCTTATAGGTAATTGGGGGTCAGGACCCTTGCTCTTAGCTATCCTATCAAGGTGTTCTGTGATTATATGACAGTGTCTGTAACCACTAGGTTCCCAATGAGACTCCTTGATGGCAAAGGACACGCTACCACCCTCACCAAATCTCAGGTTCTTTGGCGTTGTAAGAGTGTTGTGAGTAGTCAATAAATATTTAATGAATTGAACTTCACCTTCTGTATCAGATTCTTACAATTCAGTGGAATGAGACCGGAACTACTCCTTGTAAGATCACACATCTATTCTAAAGCCAACATCTTTGAATAGCACGCATACTTAGGAAAAAGAAGTAAATATGCTGGTTTGTGGCCCAAGATCCAAATGAGGTCAAGTTAGTGGTGTCTTATCCATAAGGTAGTTTGCTTTAAGTATATGGTGAAATTTCTAAACTTTTTCTGCGATCTTCTTAACTTTGTTTTTCAAATGTAACATATCCAACTCCTTGGAAGACCCCTTCTTTTGAGGTTCTTTGGAGGTTAATTCATTGGGTATATTTAATGGGAATCACTTCACTGAAAGCTAAGCTCCCAAAATTTGATGGGCCTATAGCAACGAATCTCTCTGTATGTCTCTGGTCTATGCATTTTTGAATACTTTAATTCCTGGATGACTATGGTTAGAAGGTTCAAAGAAAGGTTTTGTTTTGTTTTGTTTTGTTTTTTGGTCAAAAGCTTATTTCAGCTAAATTGTTATTTAAATTTGACTAAATTGGCTAATATATTGTTAAAAATTTGTCTAACAAATAAACTATTATATAGGCAATTTTAGTAGGGGTAGTGCCAATGAAAAAGGCTATGGGCTCATCTTTACTTGTTATAAGTCTGTTGGTAATTACTATTTCAGTAATACATAGCCACATCTGGTCAACATGCGGCCAATATCAAAGGTACATCATGTCCTTTGCTATGAAAGAATAGTTCAATAGACACAGTTCCTGCTCTTTTGGAGCTTACAATCTAACCTAAACAAGACTATATAAACACATACTGAAGAGTGGTCAGACTCAGGACCTAACAAGAAGCAACATACATTGAAGATAAAGGAAAAAACTATGGGGTAAAGAATGACATTTAGGAAAGAATGAAGAGAAGGAAAGAAGTAAACTGCTTCTTCATTCCCATTTCTTTGAAAAAGATTCATGGAAGATGTATGATGGTAAGTATTCTTAAAATTATGAAAGAGTGGGGAGACTGGGTGGCTCAGTCAGTTGAGCGTCCCACTTCGGCTCAGGTCATGATCTCACAGTTTGTGGTTTCGAGCCCCACGTTGGGCTCTGTGCTGACAGCTCGGAGCCTGGAGCCTGCTTCGGATTCTGTGTCTCCCTCTCTCTGCCCCTTCCCCACTCAAGCTTTGTCTCTCTCTGTCTCTCAAAGATGAATAAATGTTAAAAAAAATTTTTTTTTAAAAATCATGAAAGAGCATGTAAGTTGATGCCTGGAAGAAAAAAAAATTCTTGTGATGTAAGATGTTGTGAGTGACTGAGAACCCTGAGCAGGGTAAGGACCACTGGGTGAAGGGCCCAGCAAGACTTTATAAGGAAGGAACTACTAAATGAAGAATCAATGTTCTGGAGGACAGAAACTGAGGGGAGGATACAAGTCTCCTAGACTTGCTTCCCATGCCTTCTAAGTGGGGGTGACATAGAGTGGCTGAGCCACAAATCCAAGACTCCTCCAAAATAACCAAAATGTATACTTAAAAAACTTTGAAAACTCTCCATGGACTCTAGATTAAGAAAACCACCTTTAGAAACTTTCTGTGAGACTTCAAAAGGTAGAAAGCACATCCAGATAGAACTATAGACTCAACAGCCACCTAGTCTATATTCTTTTTGGTTCTCATTTGTTTATTTGCTTTCTTGCTCACTGGTTCATTTCCTCTATTGCATGTATTGCACTGATGCTATCTATTTGATTAGTCAGCTTTATATTTCCCCATCGACAAAGAAGAACAAACTTTTGAGGACAGGTTGATTTTTGTCAACCTCAATTATAATACAGCCTCAGGTTAACTGAAGTATATCACATAACCTGGTACTGGTGGTGACAGGGGTGTCAAAAGACTCTGTTTCTGGGGAGCACCATCAAAATGATGACAGAATTCTCCCATCATAGTATCCTGATTTGCCTTATTCAACATTTGACCGTTATGCATGCAGAGTATTTCATGGACCTTTGGAGGACACTTATCTCAACAAAGAATATACGTTTTAAGCAGTGCCTCCATGCATCTTGTTCACACCATAATGACAATATTAGGATTAATAATACCTTGATTTCAAACAATTTTTATTTCAAGGAACTCAATATTCCTCATATATGCTATTCTATTTATCTTGTCATATTGCATATTCAACTGAAATCTATGGTGGGTCTAGTTTCATACTTTACAAGCTCATAATACTGTTTTTTTTTTTCTAATGATTACATTAAAATGCAATATTCACCATACCTTGGGGGTAAATTTGAATGAATAGGAGGAAATTATAGGTATTTCCTTATATGCAAAAAGATGCTTATTGCTAAGTTCCTTTATCTCGTGAGAGTTCTTAGGAAAGTCAGTCTCCAAAATCTAACTTTGTACTTGTTACACCTTACCTCTGAGGCAAGGCAGGAGAACAGTATTTAAGACAGAATAAGAACATGCCAAATAGACAGAAGGTGTCCATCGGTGTCAGGTGAACCCCTAAGACCTAGGCCACCTGATGTTCTGGCTCCTTATTCATGTATGAAGAAAGGCCTGCAGTTCCAATGGCATAAGCCTGTTTGTTCACTGTGGTTTTATTTTTTGTTTTCCATAAAGCCATGCTCTATTTTTTATATTTGAGCAGTGGCTTTGAAGATAGGATAAGAGTCTCTGAGGAAAACCCCAAGCTTCTCAACAGAGGCTAATGGGTTCATTTGGTCCTGTGAAGAACAGGTCAGTGTACTTAATATGCACATGATCTGTTGTGATGTGTCTTTCTTATTGTGGCATGACCACAAATCTCATGGTGGGAACAAGAACTGAACAAATAATACAGAACTACCCAAGTCAATACCACCTGTGTGCAACACAGCACCCTTCTGACTACCAATGGTGTATATTTTAATGACTTTCAATAAATCCAGTTTAAAAGCCACCAATCGCCTGTCTTTTGTAACTGATGTATGTGCAGTCTACTGATACCTCTGGTTTCTGTCTCTATCTTTTTCAAGACAAGCATGCCTTGATTCCAACTTCATGGTGACAAATGGTTTTGGGAAATGGATCCCAAGAGAAGTCGATATCTGCCCACAGTCCCAAGCCCTGCAGGACACATGCCCTGAGAATTCCATAAGCAGCAAACTAAAGGGTCTATTCCATCGGCCCAAAGCCCCACCAATCCTCAGCCATTTCACTGCCCCCTCCCTTCAGTCATCCTTGTCAGGCGCTCTGATAAACACGCTGATTGATATAGCTATACAGCAAACAGGCCAATAAGTATAAAAGTAAGTATAAACAGCTGTACTTACATGTGTCTGGCTTGAGCTGACTGTTGGTGATGCCAAAGTACTGGGGATTTTCAATGACAGGAATTTTGGTCATTCCAATAATGACGGCATCGGGGCCACCCTCTGAAGATGATGGGGTGTTACTCCCATTGGAGATGTGGTGGAGTGGGCTGGCAGAGTCATCATCATTGCTGATAACTGAAGCTGGGCCTAGAGTTGGAAAAAAAAAAAAACAACATATTCTCCTGTAATGCTTTGAATGCTCTTGTTGAGCTATAATTCACACATACATGAAGTTCACCCATGGAAAGCATACAATTAAGTGGTTTTCAGTATATTCAGAGAGTTGTGCAGCCATCACTTCAATGTAATCTGAGAACGTTTTCAGTCATTCCCCACGTTCCCCACTCCCAGCCCCAGGCATCCATGAATTTGCATTTATTTTCTGTCTCCATGGACTTATTCTGGACATTTCATATAAATGCAATCATTTAATATGAGATCTTTTGAAACAGACGGCTTTCATTTAGCACGCTTTTAAGCTTCACTCATGTTGTAGCATGTGTCATTACTTTAGTCCTTTCTATTGCCAAATAATATTCCATTGTATGGATACGCCTCATTCTGTTGATCCGTTCATCCCTTTGATGGACATTTGGGGCATTTCCACAGGTTGACATTTGGGGTATTTCCACATCACAAATAAATAATGCTGCCATGAACATCTGCGTACAAGTTTTTGTGTAGACATACGTTTTCATTTCTCCTGGGTAGAATTGCTGGGGCATATGCTATCTCTATGTTTAACATTTTGAGGAAATGCCCAACTGTTTTCCAAAGTGGCTGCACCATTTTCTATTCCCACCACCGATGGGCAAAGTTTCCACTGTCTTGACTTCCTTCTCCGGTAAGTTAATACGCAGTTTTGCTCTCTGTTCTCTGAACATCTTTAGAACAAACACTCTCTCATTGAAACTCCCAGCATGAATGCAGGATTCCTGTGTCACCATATCCTGAAAGATGCACTAGCGGTTTAAAGATCTGAGTGCCTTCTTCCACTCTTTGGACAAGTCACTTACCTTTTTTGTACCTCTACATCCACTTACATTTGTAAAATGTGCAAAAGAATATCTGCTTGTTATTTTATGAGACTAGTGATAGCAAAGTGTATTATAAACTTAAATGGGCTTCATGAGTATGAATTACTACTAGGTATTATTAATAAACTTCCAACCTGTGGACTAAAGTTACATTGGATGGTCCTGTTACTATGTTTCTCTTTCTGCACACACCTTGTTAGCATTTTGCCTACAAAATACTTTCATAACAATAATGGATCAATCCCAAGGCAAGTTGCCCACTTTGCCTTTAACCCTAATATTATGTGTAGATTACTCTATGGATGTCTTTATACTAAAGCCACAGCCATGACGTATTTCACACAAGACTTAAACTTTCTGGTCCCAAGTCTAAGAACGTATATGCCCATAAATATGGTCTACTGTGTCTTGTTTAAACAATTTATCTACTGACCACTAAACCCATGTGTCTGCAAACAAAACTAGATGCACAGAGTTAAAGGTCTATATGAAAGCTTCAAGACAATTAAGTTCTCGCTGGTTCACGATACACATTCTGCACGTGAGAAGTCAACACCCACTCCCAGACATATATTACACGTGTTTCTGCAGGGCACCGCGTGGCTGGAGGGTCCCACTGAAGCGGACCACTGGCCACAGCCACTGGCATAAGCCAAGAGAAACACAGGAAGGAATGGTAAGGAGGAAAGATGAAAGCATCAGTTAAGCAACTGCGTACCAGGGGAAGAAAAGCCTGAATTGCTACTTGCTGAGCGAGCACGGGATTGTGCGGTCATCCAACCACCCAGGACACCTGCTTCCACACCTCCACCCTTCTCTGTCTTTTCCCTCTCAATTAATTAACTATTTCAGTGAGAAGCACGGCAATTCTAAAGACGAAAGTAACTGTGTCACACATTTTCGAATCCCCTATGAAAGATAATGGTAATCCGTCCCCCGACCTCCAAGATTCATTTTCCCCCTCAGACGGGGATTATCACAGTTTGCAGTGATAACAATTGGACATTCCGCAGCTAGCTGAATCTTAAACAAACTATGCAGGAGGCAGCCAACTGCTATTATAGGTAATTTTTTAAAGCATCCTCTCAAGGGGATGTGCATTTAAGTTGCCTTTAATGATACACTCTGGCTTAATTCTGCAAACAAGTCCTCACACAGCCAATTTAGAATCTTCAGATTACTCAAAGCAAAAGCAAGCTCACTGGTTGTGCTCATCTTGAGTCTAGCACACCGGTATTAGTAAAGGGCAGAAACTCTGCCAAGAATAGCTATAAAGACAAGTTCTTTCCAATATCCTTAACCATCCCCGTTTTATGTTTGGCTTCCTGACAGGCCTAGATCACCCAGAGCTTAAACCCAGAGATGGAAAAACATAAATGTGTTATGCTAAGCGTTCTCTGCATCTTGCCAGTAAAACCTCCCCACCACTGGCCCCCTTGCCGTGTTCCTGGTGCAGGAACCAAAAGCATGCTACTGCCTGAACTCCCCGAGGTGGGTGCAGTCAAGGTCGTACATTTCTCAACATTTACCCCCAGAAATGCAGGAGCTGTCATGTTCAGACCTTCCACATGTTGTCAGAAGGCCAGTGATATTTGCTTCTGGAGCCCCTGCAATGATTAAAACACACTGATCCCAGTTGCTTTCTTCTGTGACTCTCCCCTGGGCCAGGCCAGGCCATCAACATTCCTGTAGCATTCAATCATCTTGGAGGAAGCTGATACCTAGAAGACAATGCTGAGACTCCTCCAGGAATTCGGGCTCTGGATCATCTGCCATGTACATAGTGGAACCCTGACTTAAAGAATTACAGCAAAATACTTGCTCTTTGCTTTTCTTCCTCCACCAGAGGAGACCCTTTCTTTGCCTTGGTTTCTCTGAGTAGAACCCCCGACTCTGCAGTAACAGAGCCCCAGGGAATGGGCTCTCTGTTTGGAGGGGGGAATGTTAAGCATAAAAGTGGTATAAAGCATCAGAGGTCATTTTTCAAAAGCCTTTCTGCTTTGCCAGAAGGCCGCTGTTGACAAATCTCGGCAACACATAAACCTCAACAATTTATCAAGTGAAATATTAATTCAAGTGCTGTTTCCTTCATCATCGATGTTCTAAATCCTGGAAGATTGATATGGCTGGCAAGGTTGCAGCGATCCAGCCCATTTTTCTATGAACATTTTGATCTAACGGAGCACAGCAAAGTTGGGAAGGGGAAAAAGCTCTCAGCAGGGACAATGAATGTCTATATAATTTGACAGCAGGCTGTCTGTGCCTATCACGGGATGTGTCATTGTGTGTCTGTGCACGAGCTTGAGGAGACACCACAAAAAGACAGACAGAAGAAGAGTCAGGGGCACATCACAGCGTGTTATAAGGAATTCACATGAGGGTTTGAAAAAAAGTCTTATAATATTAATAAGAAGTTTCAAATTGTGGGATATGAGCAACCTGCCAGGTTGTTGGGGGGGGCATAGTTCTAATTACTGAGCTGACAAATATGGGCTATGCCTGGAAACATTTTTTAGCCCATTTTTATTTTACTATGTCTCAGGTGCAAAGAGAGATTTTTTCTGTCAATGGAGCTGCTTGGTAAGGCATATTGCATGTCTGACTCACAGATATTTCCAAGCCTTAGACTTGTGTTCCTGTGATAAGAATGGCTGAAGGTCACCTGGGAAAGGAGTTTCCTTCTCTCAAGACCAACAATGTCTTCGAGGCGAGGGGAGAGGCCATTGTTCTTGGGCAGCTGTGTTAACCATGTCTTTTACTGTCTGTATTCTGATGCTTCATCACTGGGGCCTCACTGACCCTGAAGGAACTGTCCCTCCCAGGATAGCCAGTCCCTAGAGATGGTAAAGAACTTTTCTGAGAGCATACTTTCCATCTCCAGTCCAACCAGTCCATAGCCTGCACCACCTTATCAGGCTGTCATACTCCGGGCCACTGTCCGCCTGCCCTGTCACCCCAGAGCCAGGCACCAGCCAACTGGGGACAGCCTGTCTGCCCCAGAGTCTGCTAAGGTCACTCAAACCAGCCGATCCTAAACCTGCTTACCCTGCCTCACTAGTTCCTTCCTATGGTAACCGCCATAAAGGCTCTTGCCCCCATGTTCTGCCCTCTGACCGACCCCAGTGTTTCCCTTGGGGTCCCCCCACCATGGTGTGGCTGCCCTCTCCTCTCAGGAATGGCGAGTAACAGACTATCTTTTCAATGGCTGTCCTCCTCTGGCCTCTTGGCCTCACCAGACCCGGATAATAATAAAACCTACATTTTAAAGCTGCAGCATCTCTGATGGACTGTGGCTCAAAGAACAATTCTGAAGGAAAATTCTCTCTGCTGTGGCCTAAAAGGGTGAAACCCTGTTTTTGAAGTTTTCTAAGAACAAGCACCTCTCAGCAGGGCAAACTGGCCTGGAAAATGCTTACATGGTTATAGTGATCTTCTGTTTAGTGGAGAAAAGACCCCCATCTCACAGCGCTATGGTATGAAACCTTATCACCCTCTGCCTCCTCCCCGCCAACACATACACAGAACACAAAGCCTAAACACAGAGCACCTTTAAGATCACCCAGCAGGGCAGTCTCTGGTATCCTGGCAAAGTGACTGAGATTAGCTGAATCTGAAATGTGCCCCTCGGGGAGTCACCAACAAATCCTGAGATGTCTGAGTTTAATGTTCCAATTTTGCCACATCCCTATCTTAGCTTTGCTGATTACGAGCTTTGACCTTGGAATTCATGGGGCTACCTAAGGGTCAGGGTTACTAATATCAGGCTCATAAAAAGAAAGGAAACAGAGTTCCTTGCATGGAACGGATGACTCAGAACCAGAACGCTCCATGATACTGGTACATTTCCCCTAATTCGCAGTTTTACCTATAGCCAGCCTGGCTACCAGAATATATACCAATACACAGATGCCCAAGATGGCCAGATCTTGGAAACACACGTGCAAGATGTAAGACAGTCTGTCTTTTTGTGCTTTCTAGTGAATTCCTGTTCATAGTCGCTGTACCCATAGAAAGTACTGAACAAATTGGAGGTCCCGGGAGATCACACCTGATTTCAATCCCAGTGATGAGATACATTATGTGCACTCATTTGGTAAGCTACAAACTCTGCTTTTCAATTGTCAGCACACAGTCTGAATGCAAGGAATAGAATGCAATCAAGTACAAATCAGAGCGTCTGGACGTTAGAGTCTTGTTTTGAAAGAGAAATGGTCATAAATGAACAGCTGATTTACCAATTCAGAAGTGTACTACATCTTGGCCAATGGAGGAAGTTAAGATCCCAGCTTGTCCAGACGTGACTTTTAGCCAACTTTCCTGCACATGGAGTTTTGGTGCTGTTGCATTTTCTTTCCTGAACCTTCTTAAAAGCCCAGCAACTACCTCGACCTGGTACAACAGTTGGCATTCTTCCTGGGATGAAAACAAGTCGACTTCAAAAATATAAAACCATTTGCTGAACTCAGTGAGTGAAAGCCATGCCTTTTCTGGAAAACTCCTAGCCCTCTCTCTTCAGCAAATCAGAAACCAGGAACACAGAAAATTAATCATGGGGCCATCAAGTGGGAAGAAGGGCCAAGCAATTTCATCCGAATCAAGCAACATAAACTTGTTACTTATCCAAAGAAGGAGTAACTACTTACCAACACCTTGTCTTGATTTTACTTTCCCAAATCCAAACCATGAGAAATCTGAAAACCACAACAAAACATAAAATAAACTTCGAAAGAGAAGCGTAAACCAGGGGTATTCAGCACTGTCCTTAGTGAAATAACAGACTTCCTCAAAAAGCTCCTGTGAAGAACAAAGCTTCCTCTCAAACACCTGGAAACAGATGCTTGAATTTTGGTGTAAAGATTTATGTCTCATCCTGAGAACATGGGCTTTTGAACCAGGTAAGAGACAGTAGCCTGTCTTTGAGAAAAATGGCCCAAATCGAGAGTTAATGGCTCTGAGCGGTTTTCTTGATTTCTCACTCTCTTCTTCCTAAGTATCGAATCATCTAACTAAGCTCTAGGGATGAAAATACACAACGCGTTTGACAAATGCACCATGGTTCTCGACTGCAGCAATGTGGGAAAATAACAAGACAAAACAGATCTTTTGTGGAGCTGAGGCAGGCAGTGACAAAAGGAACACGTAGTCCCGTGGGAGAACTGATACTTGGGCTGGAGGGGGATTCAAGGAGGAAAAAAAAGGGAGGGATCTTAATTCTACACGGATTCTGCCACTGACTTGCTGTGTGACAGTGGGGAGTTCAGAGCAGCTCTGTGCCTCTTGTCACACAAAGCTCCATGAAGCGCATGTAAGTAAAGATCTGACAAATGTTTGGAGGTCCTCCAGGGAATAAAGCCACAGTGAAATGCCTATTTGTTTCCTGGGCCTGACTGTGCCCCTCTATGTAATTTCCGCGGGGTTCAAAGTGAACTCTACACAGTGGGGGGATCCCTGGATAAGAGGCGGATAAAGGGTATGGGGCCCAAATAAGTAACTGTGCTTCTCAGATCTTCAGATCTTCAGTGGTTTTTGTAGGCAGTGAAGATGTAAAGCTGCGTAGAAGAGCCAATTTAAGTGAAACAATGTATATGAAAACTCTTGGCACGATAAAAAATGCCTTGCACAGTTGTCATCATGATTACTCTTTTTTCTAGTTACCCTTCCTCCCTTGGTAGCCTACAACGTGGGCTCCCCAACCTCCAAGGCAATTTTTTACTTCTGATTGATATTCCTCTGAATGCTTTCTTCCAGGTTTTAGAAGACAGGATGAAGGTCTGGCCTCTATCCAATGCCAAATAAAGATCCCTTTGCACAGAAGACAGTGAGCCTCATTCACTGGGTCCTCAGTCTAGCGAGGCAGCGCTGTGTCTGTGGCTTTCTTAGTTACCACTAATCCCTTTGAAAACAGAGGGTATTTCCTACTGGTCAATTTTTGGTTTCCTCCATTTGTTTGATTTACATAGTTTTAATTAAACAGTAGATCAAACTTTTTAAGACTGCCTCTTTCACTTGAGCATTTTTTTTTTCGAAATCGTTTCCATCTTACGGAGAACCCGCAGAAGGACAATGCCATAGCAGCCCCTCACTGATTTACACATTACAGATTATCGTCAATTGTAATAATAAATACGACTGTAAGGAACACCTGTCCACATCTCAGGTGCATCTGTCCCCATTTTCAAAAATCATTCCTTCCAGATAAATCCTGAAATGGAATTAGTGAGTCCAAAGGGATGAGTAATGTTAAGGTGCCCAACACGCGAATTCAGCTGCTTTTCCACCATACCTGGTCTACTTTTATTAATAGTGTGTGAGAAGGCAGGAGTGTATTTTCACAGTTCACCCAATGGGAAATCAAAGGGTGAACCATTTTCTACCTCCATCCTGCCATCGACATGTCTCCACCTAACTGAACAGAGATGGCGTGTCTCCACCTAACTCTCACCTTTGCCACATGAGAACACAGATATGAAGAGGGTCAGAGCCCCTCTGATTTATTCAGATATTGTAATTCACCAGGTGTGTCCCCCACGCAGGACATTTCTCCCTTAGTCCTCCGCCAGGCCCTATAACATATGACCCTCTGTTCATTGATAAGGAATCAAGACTCAGAGGCTGATAAACCTAGCAAAGGTCACACCAAGTAGTAACTGAGCAGACTCACCCTTCCGATGCCAAATCTGTTTTTTTTTCATTCTTTCATAGTTGTCTTTCCAATCTTCCAAAATGCTTAGCCATAATTAGCCAAAGTGGACAACATTACAATCGAGATTCAATTTTATATATAGGAAAGCACTGTATGTAGCCATTCGTTCTTGCTCATTTGTTCAACAAGAGTGAGCCTGGGTCAGACCTCTGAACATGAGAGACTCTGCTTGGAGACTAGAACTTCATCTTGTTTTTTTGAAACAGGAGCTACCTTGAACCGCTGAACCAAGCAAAGGCATGTGACTGAACCCAGAGCTGCTGAATCCACATTCTGGATAAAAACTGGACGCTCTGCAGAAGATGTTTTCCTAGTAATTGACATAGTATACTCAAAAAACCAATGACGTAAAATGTAATTACATTTTCCAAACATGATTTTTGGAAAACCAGCTTGTGCATGTTTCCTAATACTTCTGCAATTTGCTAATAAAGACCACTGGCTTTCACTCCTCAATGGGACACAGTTGGGGTTTCTACCTGAATCGGTGCTCCCCACATTGCAATTCTAAGACCCCTCCCCAAATGCTTTTGTTTTATTTTATATCTTCCTTTTTTTTTTTTTCTTGATCAACACAGGTACAATAGAGGAGTCAAAGATAAATGAGCTTCCCTCTGTTTAGATTCTGCCCTCCAGGGAGCCTGACAATTGGTATTAGCTATTGATATATCCAGGATGCATGGGGACTCACAGGAGGAACATATATCCCAGTCTAAGGGAGATGGTCAAGGGAGTTCTCTGGCATCTGGGTAACAGATCGGAATAAGACAAGAATGGTGTGGGGTGGGGGCGGGTGGGGGGGTGCTGGGTGGCTTGGTTGGTTAAGCATCTGACTCTTGATTTTGGCTCAGGTCATGATCTCCCAGTTCATGAGATCAAGCCCTGCATCGGGGTTCTCTCTCTCTGCCCCTCCCTTGCTCAGTGTGCTCTCTCTCGCTCTCTTTTCTCTCTCAAAATAAATAAATACACATGCTTTTTAAAATAAGAATTAGTTGGGGTGCCTGGGTGGCTCTGTTGGTTAAGTGTCCAACTTCGGCTTAGGTCATGATCTCATGGTTCCTGGGTTTGAGCCCCGCGTCAGACTCTGTGCTAGCAGCTCAGAGCCTGAAGCCTGTTTCAGATTCTGTGTCTCCCTCTCTCTGCCCCTTCCCCACTCTGTCTCTCTCCCCATCTCTCTCTGTCTCTCTCAAAAATAAATAAACATTAAAATAAAAATAAAATAAAATACAACAAAACAAAACAAAACAACAACAAAAAAGGAATTAGTCAAGAATGGGGAAAAGCAGAGAGAGGCACTGTCACTATCCACTCACAGCTAGGGTGGGGGGCTCTGTATGTGTCGGGGGGTGATGCACCAGGAAAGGGTAGGAAACCGAGAAACAGAAGCAAGGGTCAGGCCAAGAGTTTGGGTTTTACAATGAAAATTGCTGGTAGGCTCTAAACAAAACAAAATAAAACAAAACACCCTTGGGCCAAGCAGTAATATGATCAAGCTGAATTTTTGAAAAATCACTTTGGCTGCAGGATGGAAACAGGATTGTGAGAGGGAAAGATGAGGGCAGGAGACCCGTTAAGGAAGCTTCTAGAGACATCAAGGCATGAGAGAGTTGTGGCCTGAATTGGGCACAGTGGAGGGGCATGGGGACAGGAGACGGCTGTCAGGCCTGTTTAGGGGAGTGAGTAGGACTTGCCACTTTGGGGGGACTGTGGGGAGTGAAGAAGGAAGGTTTAGGTTTTGGATAATAGGACATATGGTGCTGCTGCCCGGAGTGTCTGTGAGGAACTCAGAGCTCAGCTGAGTGGCTAACCTTAGAGCATGGGCGTGGGGCACAAACCCTAGGTCAGGGGTCTCTGTGGAGAAGATAAGAGGGAAGTATCCAGTGTATGGACCACAGGTCTAGAGCCCAGGCACAGGTCTAAGGCCCAAGTTCCAGAGCCCACAGTCTAACTGGGAATGCACGCTAGATGCCGTACTTAGGACACATTTCTTATTTGGCCAAATGAGACACCCTCGTCTGCAGGTACCAACGAAAGGGCCTCCGCCAACTGCAGCTACCTTTTGACAAACTTAATCCAAAGTTGCTAAAGTAGGTCTAAGCTCTAACACAGCGACACAATTATTTCATAAGAGAGGACAATCTTCTTGGCCATTCCCCAGATTTCTTGGAAAATTTGAGACCTGAGATAGCAAGGTCACATCGGTCCTCTCTTCCTCCTCAAAAGCTGTCCCTTGTTCAATGGGTCTTTCTTGATGGATTTAAGCAGTAGTCTTAAGACCTTAATACGAAATCTCACCAGCAAAATTCTCTCACAAGGCCAAAAAGAAACAATTTCTCAATTTCCTGTGATGTTTCACCCATTGGGAGTAGAGTCCTGCCAGACATTCTTTTATTTTCTGTTTAATAAGGACACTTTATTTGCTGCAAAATAAAGGACTCCTTCAAAAGCAAATGTAGTTGCAGTGAGTTCAAAGGAGCTTGTCTTTCTGCAATCTGACTAACAAAGACTCTAAATTATGAAATCAACCAATTAAATCCTTCTCATATTGAAGAAAGTTTAATCTTCCCTGACCAGACAAGGAGAATATAGGAAAAAGAATGCATTAACACATTAATAACTCTAAGAGGAGATCCAAAATAAATGGTAATAAAGATTGCTTTTCAAATGTCTCTCAAAGGAAAACAGCTAAAATTTAGGGGGCTGAAAAGGAATATTTATGATACAGGCGAGAGAATCAGGGGAAGAAATGAGAAACAGGCAAGGTGGAAGAAACCTAATCTTCCCCATGGGTGCTGAATCACACAAACTCTAAATGCAATTGTTGAGAAGCATTCTGATCTCCAAAGAACACAGTTTTTGGATATTTTTTTCTCTAAGTTTCAGAAAAATTGTTTCAGTCTGTTAGGAGAAAAATCAGCTCTCCTCCCTTTTAATTCGGGAGGAATTAAAATTTGTTGTGTTCTCGAAGGTAATCTCTTTATATTTTAA